GGGGGAAGGAGCATGGCACACACTTTCCCACTTTTGTATTTGCATCACCAAAAAAAAACCTGAAAAAAGGCAAGGCTGACAGGAAAACAAGCCAGGAAAACAGCAAGTCAGGAAAGCTTGTAATAAGTTGTCTCAGTTTCTTTTTAAATTGGCTGTTAAAATTCTTGTACCATACTGGGGAAACCCAGATGAAGTCTGATAAAGTTCTTAACTGGAGTGATCAGTCTGAATCTACCTTAATGGATTTAAATTGGTCCTTTAGAGAGAAAAAAATAAGCAAACACCTTAATTATATTGTTCCTGGCAAGTCTTACTTCTTGCATCTCTCAGTGCGTAGGCCTGAGTGCACAGGACTAGCTAAGACCTTTTTCTCATTAAAAAAAAAAAAACAGAAAACCAAGACACAGAACAGATCTTTAAATACATGGTATTGTAAGACATTTCTGGTGCTTGAAATACACACACCATGAGCTGAACGATATAATCAGACTTTGCAGAATATTCCCTAACATACAGATTAAGAACGTGAAATGAGAAATGAATGAAATCCCAGGTTAACTGGTAGAAAAGTTTATTGTTACAGTGCCCAGCATTGTAACCTGAAACAGCAAGTTAAGGAAACGTTACACATGGCAGTGTGTTTTTTAAACAGATTTTTGAAAACTATTTGCATGGAGTTTTACATCAAAGAACAGCAATTTTGACTTTTGGAGACATTTATAAACAAGAAAACGGGAGGTTTTTCTGGGTCACCCAAGCGAAGCGTATGAAGCGTGATGACAAGCGATACCGTCAGAAGCCATCAGTGTAACCAGCGGTTCTCGGTGGTGCTGCAGTTGTTCGGGTCGAAACAAGCCAATCCTACAAGTGACAAGCGAGCAGCCTTCTCGCAAACCACTCTCTAAAGAATTAAGTTATTGGCTTCCTGCAGAGGACGCGAATTGAAGTCTGGGATTTGGGCAAATTCTCTTGCGACGCTTGAGCGTGTAAAGCTTGGAAGAATGGACCTGCTGGGTCTAGCAGGCAAACAGAAAAGGTAAAAAGTGAAGTTTGAGTTTAAAAAAACCCCTATCCTACACTGCCCTCTGGCAACACAAATATTAAATAACATCGTTCCCCTGCTGCGAGCGGCGTAAAGCTAATTAATTACACATCGCAAAAAAAAGCAAGCGAGGCTGCTTGGCAAGCGCCGCGGGCACGGCTGAGGCTGGTCTGCCCCATCTGCCTGCGATCCGTAACTGCCCTGGCGTGGGAGTGGGCAAGCGAGTTAATCAGGAAATTTATTCAGCACTCTCCTAAACCCCCAAAACCTCCACAGGATGTTTTGGGGTAGGTGTGTCCTAAGTAATTAAAACCCATTAGTTGAAACAGGTGAGAGATCCAACACAACAGCCAGACGGTGCCGTGGACGCGTTGTGTTCACCTTGTTATACAGATCACTAAAAACACTTAAAAAAAAATCACGTTTTAAAGAGCAGGACTTTCATTCGAAAACTCCCCTTCTTTCGACTTAGAGGACCCACTTCAAACCGTGAACAAAACATGCGAATGAGTCAATCGTGTGAGAAAGCATTCTAAAACAATTTTATTGGAATGGTACAGGAATGGTTAATATACAGGTTAAATCCTCAACGCCTGCCTTCTACATAGGAAAAAAAAATTAAGAAAGGAACAAATTCAGTTCTTGTACCCATCATTAACCTAACACAGGCACGGGAAACAGAAAAACAGCACATAGGCAACGGATTCCTAGCACTCCTAAATTCATGCATCGAAACAAATGCAAGTTTTACACCGTCCCACAACAAAAAAGAGCTTTTCGGTCTTTTTTCGGTTTGTGTTGGTGCCTTGTTCCCCAGACAAAGAAAGAATTCAGCCTGTGTCACCAGAGCTTTCTTCAGAATGCCGGTACAGTTTGAACGCTACCATATGGGCGGGGTGGGGGGACCAGACGAGGGAAGTGACTTTGCTTTCTTAAACTTGGCAATTTTCTTGACCGTCAGAAACAGAGATTGCCCTCGTTTCAGAACGTTTTGGGTCGCTGAACTGATAGAATTTGGCAGCAACTTTCAATTACAGCCTCTCCAAGATAATGGCTGTAATTCACCAAACTCACACAGGAAACACAGCAAAGTGGAACGAGTATCGGGAGTTGTGTGTCAAATCCCACTTTCTTTGCAAGACTTACAACTCTTAACGTTCTTTCTCAAAAAGCTGGGTTAGACCCACAGAAAGAGGATGCCAACGTTAAGAAAGAAAAAGCACCTCGGTTTAGAAAATCACAGCCAACAACAAAAATCAGACACTGGGAATCAAACGTAACTTGATTTCCATCCCCAAAAAGGTCTTAACAATAAATTCCATAACGTTCCGGTAATTACTGGCAAAGCCCACCTAATGAAAAAGCACAAATGCGTGTGTTAATCCTGAAGGCAAGGCAACGTTAACGTACCCCTATGCCTTCTGCTGCCGCGCTGGCTTTTGTGAGCACGAGCTTCAGACTGACTCCCAGGCTCCCGAATCGGAAAGAGATAATAAGACGTGAATTAAATGTCGTTTTAACTAACTTGGCTCCCTGCTAGATCCTGCTCGCTCGGACGTCTGTGCAAGTTTCCTCATGAGCTGGCTCGAAGCAGAGCTGCTCTCCGAACTATAACAAGGACTAATTATCTTTCTTACCGTCTTTTGATGCTTTTGGGGAATAAATACGTTACGTGGTGCCAAAATGCATTTTAAATTACCCACGCGCTTTTAAAGGCTGGTTCTTATCCTTCAGGGCACTTGTAATTATTTGTATTTTTGCCAAATACGGCCAAGAAATACAGATGATCTCACGAGCTCTGGGAGAGCAGGGAGGTTAATATTGCACATGATAAATTCACCAATACGATTCGCTTTTTAACAGCTTCGCGATTCCTGCAATAGGTTCATGATACGGCAGTGACAACGGAAAGAAAGGGGGTTTAACCTTAAGAAAAAGAGGCTTGCTTAATTACAATAGTTCTTGCTACTCAGCATTTATTTCTTCCTTTGAAAAAATACTATAGGAACCTAATGGCTACTCGTCCATGCAGTAAGATGCCTAATGCTATAAGCGGCGTGAACTGGTATTTTTGTAGAGAAATACATTTAAAGGCTTTCACCCTTACACAGGTAAGGAAAGGCCATTTCTGGCCGGTTTGGCTTATTTTGCAACATTGCCTGGGAGTTAGCACGTACTTCACTTGAGGTGCACACGTAACCGGGTCGTGCTTAGGCAACTGCGTGATGAACTCGCCGACAGAAAGGCCGTCCAGTTGCCCAAATCCCTTTTCTCTTTGTCAAAAGAGCCCACACGGATCACTTGAAGGAGAAATACATGGCGTTATTTCTTTCTTTTTTTTTTTTATCGTCTGTACAGTGTGTTACAATACAAATCTTAAATAACCATTCTACAAAAAGAACAAACACAACTTTCAAAAGTGACTACGATGGCTATACTACACGATACCACCTACAATTTCACCTGAAACCAGAAAAGACACTGAAAAATTACTGTGTAATTCAGTAACGTTTTTTGAGGCAACTCAGGCGTTAAAGTTAGTATTTGACAAGGGTTTAGATGCTGTTGCTTGTTTTCCATATTTTAAATAGACGGATCTCTAGGTATAACCCCATCTGTATTATTAGTACTAAAATAGATTCTGGAAGTTTACACAAATATGACGAATTGCCGGGACAGTTTAAACTACGTAAAAATCATTCACGTCCAATCGCCTCAGATTCCTATGTTTCCCACTTTGTAAGAATACGCTCCGTGCCCTCTACCTTTACGTACACATTTTCATCTTGCGTTCGAATTTGTATTACGTACAGTGAATGCTGCAAGCACCAATCAAATGTTAGAAATCACATCTATATTTCTTGAAGCAGAGACAATTGTACTATCTTTATAAAAAGCTGTGGAAATTCCCTTTACAGAACGTTTAAGGCAGTTGAAGTTCATGCTTGCTGCTTTGCCAGCGCTTCAGCTTCCTGAAACAGAAGAGAATGACACAGATTAATACTTTCTGAAGGGTGACAACGTTCACATCCCAGTGTTGGCACACGACATAAAACTGCAGCAGTATGTGATTGAGAAGGGACCTCCGCGAGGGACGTTTTGGCTACAGGAAAACATTCCTACAAAGCTTCTGAGATGAAGGACCAGCTAAAGCCACCAGCTAACCTCTAACAATTCTCAGTACGTGTCCGAGGGAACACGAAAACACCCAACAGCCCGTATTTTTCCATCTTGCAGTCTTTAGCAGCAACGTGGCCTACGAGAAGAGTCCCAGTGCTCTCACGGTAGCACTTCACGGTGGGCAGCGTGGTTTATTCAAAAAGAAAAAAGTTTGCTACCTGCTAAACTCAACCTTAACGTAAATGGAGTTGTTTGCTTTTGCGACTGCAGAGAAACACTGAAGATAAGACTCCGTATCCTTGTTAACATGAGCCAGTGCGCTAAACAATAAAAAACAAGTCGAGGAAGGACTACGAAGGGAATTTCCAAGAAGCATGGAAGACCTGAGGGTGGCTGACCCCAGCCTGCAGGGCAGGAAGTACCACGCGTATGTCCCTTATCTCAGCCCTGGTGGATCGCTCTGGTTTTCCTGGCTACCTGCCCAAGCGCCTCCTGTTGTGCGCTCGTGGCCTTTTAACTCGGGGCCGTGGGAACAGCCTTGCAGGGATGGCGGGTTCAGGTCTGCCGCGCCCTCGGACTGCGCTCTGCTCCTCCAGCTGCCTGTTGCGGGTCAAAGAGCTGAGCCGGGACATCGCCGCAGCCGCGCTGCACGTGTAGGGGCATCCCGTTCATTCGTGGCAGAAAAGGCAGGTGAACAAACAAAGGAACAACTAAAAAGAACTACAGAGCTTGGGGGAAAAAAAGAAAAGGCTGTTTGAAGTCGTCTAAAAGACAAGTGGTTCTTTGAATGGTAAGAAAGAGGAGATGGTTCCCTGGCTTTGTAACTCCATTAACCAGCTGTGGGCGCTACAGAAGTGACATCTAGCTTTCTTCTTTTTTTTCCAGAAAATGCAAGACCAAGTACTTATCTTCAAAACAGGCAGTGATAAGCTGGAGAAGATTCCTGGTATCTCCCTTAACCTGAGTAAGAAGGGTACAAGTAACTCCAAGAATGTGCTAACTTATTTGTCCTGAAAGTCGAACTCTGTCTCCTTGGCATGATCCTGCAGGTACTTGGGAAAGGCTCAGATTCTCAGGATTGACACGATCCCTTTTTCCTACTTTTCCTTATTTCTCCCTCGAGGCCTCTCACTGATCATGCTCTGAGTCCTTAAATAATTAATGACAGCCTGTAACACACAAAACCCTCTCCCACCCAAAGTGCTCGAAGAAGGCACGTTTAAGATAATTGAATCCCAGGGTTTGTAGGTCCCATTGTACTCGTGGTGCTCAAAGCACAAACCGAAGCACCAGGGCTCAGAAAAGTTACTTGGATTTCCCCAGCTCGCTTCTGAGCTCTTCTAGTTTAGTGTTAATGTTGGAACTTGGTGCTCAGAAGCAGCTAACTTTCCAAATCTCTCCAAATGACATTTCGTGCTGTGAAGGTCCTCTCTCGCAAGCGCACACAGGTTGATCCCAGCCTCCTTCCGTTTTCTGTAGCAGCACCCAGAGGCAGTATCATTACCTACGCCGTTATATCCGAGCTGGATGCAGCGACGCTCTAAATGCCAATTTCAGCATCTACAAATCAGTTGTTCCTCCTCAGCAGCAGGCAATCAGCTTGATTTGACATCACATAATTGCGGGATGGGTACCAGCAGTCAGACCAGCAGCAGAACGCGCTGGGGACGAGGTCACTTACGCAAAGGTTACCTTCAGCAGCTCCAACGCCCCTCCCCGAGCTGCAGCACGCGAGATGCAAGTTCAGTGGGTTACAAATGCATCACATCTCTCCTTTTTAAAAGGTCCTTAGGTGAGGACAGAATCAGAGCAACCAACGGCCATGCAGGCTGCTTCTGCAACCTGGCAGGTTAGGTAAGCAGCGGTGTTCGTAAATGCTGTGCAGGCAGATGACCTGATTCTTTACGGCAGCAACCGCCGCGCTTTCCAGATCTTGGCCGCGTGGGGAAACGCACGGGCTTTGCCGCGTCCCGTGGTCTCAGGACGGCTTTCTCACTCCTCGGCCCCATCCTGCATACTCTTTTGTGCAGCGCTGTGCAGATGTTCCACTAAAATAAGATTTACGTGACTCTGTTGTCCTCCTGACGCCAGCCACACGTGATGCCGGGGCGCAGGTTTTGCTCTCTGCAAGTCTCCGTAACAAAGCAGAGTTTTTTCTTGCTACACCGTTCACATTAGTGGAGCTACTGCTAGAAATTAGGTTGGCTCCCAAAATCGCTTCGGTCTGAACCACACCGTGTAATATTCGCTACTGATGGGTCATCATCCACCTTTAAAATTAGGTCTCTTCGTGATGCACGACCTTCAACTCATAGATGAATAAAGTTGAAAGGACCCAGCGTGTTTATCCACTGAAACAAGAAAGCTGGAAGTGACCTGGAGGATCCTGCTGCTGTCAAGTGAAATGTATAAAGCAGGCTTGTCCTATCCTATCAAAATCAAAAGAAGAATTCCAGCCCATTGCATCTGCAAAGCAGCAACCCAGTTTTTAATTGGCGAAGGAAAACAAGGCTTCAGATAACCAGCTGGAGGAAAAAATTACTCTGAAGCAAGACCACTCTGTTTTCAAGGTATTTTCTAGCACAAAAATCTCATCAAAACTTCCCATGAATTAAGTTTTTTTTACTGAACTGAAATAATTCTTTGGGTTTGTGACAATTTTTTTTCATCTAGATGCATTCTTCAGTGCAAATATTAGCTGTGCTCTCACTTGTGAAGGTATCAAAAGAGCATCTGTACCGAACGCTGGGGTTTTCTGGTAGAAGGAGGGGGAGGAAGATGGCTCCAGGGAACACGGCATCCTTCATATAAACCAGTATATAACAACAGCGTGTCGCTGTGATGTTGAAGCCTGGAAGTTAGTCTCTGGAGACTATCAGAGCAGCAGGCAGATCAACTGGGGCAACTGCAGAACGCGTGAAATATCCTACTGGGAGTAGAGAAGAATAAGGTGTAAAACGCAGGCTGCGGTTCACGGTGAGGAACGTGCACACCTACCTTTGAACCAGGCGGCGCAGTCAAGCCTAAAAACGCGTATACGGCATTGTTCTCTCGCGCCTCAAAGAAAGCTTCGTAGTCCTTCGCCGCCGGAGTCAGGGAGGAGGGTGGGAACAAAAGACAGAAGCACAATGTCAGAAATTGAGGCTCAATTGGGGGTGCCACCCAACCCGCCCCCAGCAAACGGCTGCCGGGGGCTGACTGCAAAAAACGCAGAGTGTTGCCTCCGATATTTATCGGTAGCACCGATACCATATAAACTGTGCTGTCCAAGAAGTCACAGTCTGGGAATTTCCCTGTCTGTAGCAACAAGATGCTGCTGGGAGGTGCTTCTGCCTTCTGCTGAGGGCCAGCATCCAGAGCAAGGCAGCTGTTGTCACTAGGAAACACCGGTGTCCCCAGATGTCATTGCTAATTACCAATTAGTAATGGCAACTGTACAACTATGGACATTAAGTCTTAAATCTGTTAGAAGTTAAACTGAAGCCTGTAAATTCAGAGTACACCCGTTGCCATCACGTTTCCAATTAACGACTGGAAGGAAATCGAGTGGCACTGTTCACCGTGCTTGCCGTGCACTAGAGTTGCTCTAAATATGCACACACCCTCCCAGGAAAATTAAGGTAAACGCACTGAAATAACAAAAGAAATGCCACTGCTTCCTTCTCTGCCCTTTTTTACACTCAGGGCAGAATGCCGTGCTGTACGGAGTGCAACCAACGCAGCTCGCTTGCCTGTTACGTTCAGAAAGAGCAAGCACAAAGCCCAGAGCGTGGCTCAGCGACAGCAGTTGCCAAACCCTGACCAAACGCACCCAGAAGGTTTGAGCAAAGCTGCTGTTGTCCGAGTTACCACACACCTCCCACGCTCCCATTTCCAAACTCAGCACACAGCTCTCCTATGGATTTCCTCCTCTCTTTAACTGAAGCAAGAGTGAGAGCTTCCTCCGGCTCCGCTGGGGAACGTTTCAACGCAGGAGTTCTGGCTCAGAAACCCAGAGAGCTCCGAGCAGGCTCAGTCTCGGTCTGAAGCCGGGGAGAGAGCTGCCATTAAGGGCACGTTGCTTCACATGCCTCGCTCTCTGGTAGGCAAAAGCCTAAGAAACGGCAAACGCCGCTTGAAAACAGCAGCGCACTCAGAGCAGGGGCAGCTCTGAGAAAAGGCTGTTGCAGCTGGAACAGAAGAAAGCACCAGGAACAGAGGATTTGAGCTGCCTGGAGACGAGGGATGTCAAATTGTTGCTCGATTGGTACGTGCAGCATTCGGGCGCTAGTTTGAGGAAAATGCGTGTGATTAGGTTAAATCCTCCCTGAAGCCCTTCTGTTCACAGTACTGGGGCTGCCTGATAACAAAGGGGTTGTTTATCTTGCTGGTGCATAGTCCAGCAGTCGGCTTTGTGGCACCTACCAGGAGAAGGAATGCCTGTGAGAAAGGAGCAGGGTTCATGCCAGCTCGCACAGCATCTACGTTACGGCCCTTCTGCTGCGTACGGGCCAATAAAAGTCAATTTGCTCATTCCTCTGCCAGTTAGGCTGCATCAGATGGAACGAACGGGGAATTTCATGCTTGAGATGGCTCAGATAAAGACACCGAGAGGTTCAAGTGTGTGGGCACAGGAATTAACTTCTACCTCCCTGAAAGCTAAACCGTAGTCACTTGAATCCAGCGACACAAATTGGCCCCAATTCAGAAGTTCAAAGTGACAGCAACCAAAATTTTGGGGATGAAATAAACCCATGGCAAGTACCGGCCTGAAACACCTACAGGCCTCTCCCCGAAATGACTGTTCAGAGCTGTCCTGGGTTGCATGGTTGTGGGATACACTAGAGGCAGCTCACTGTGGATGTTGTTTCAAGTTCTGCTTTTATTACAAGCAAGAAAAATTCCTGGCGCACTGAGACTAGTTTCTTTCAGGAGCCACAGAACTGCCTCGCAAAGGTCCACAACTGGCAGATGGTGACTTGCAGGCTTTGCAGGTCAGGACCAGACCACAAAATTACTTAGAAACCAACACAGAGCACCAGAAGAATGCATACTGTGTGCTCTTTTCAGAAGATATTAAGTTTTAAAAATAAAATTAACAGTTAATCTAATAATCATTCAAGCATGGCCTGTGAGCAGAAGTGCTGCAGGGCAACTTACTTTTGATCAAGCATTAAAATAATTACAAGTAGGAATTGTATTTGCAACATGAGCTTTAATCTGTTCAAGGCACCGGACTAAGTGGACCGCAACAGCCTTCATTTTGCAAGCAGTCCACAAAAACTGATCTCGAGAAGGATCAGAAAACTGATTTATGATCGTGGCAGGAATCACTTCGTAGGAGCACTTCCTTTGGAAGATTCAGAGACTACACGGGAATGTGGGATCCACACGTATCGGCTGACCCCACGTAAAGAGAAGAGCCCTCTGAACGTGCCACAGAACATAACGTTCGTGCAACAGTGCCAGATCTCTGTGAAGTTTTAGTTCACAATCACAGTGAACAAGAGAATTAAAATATCTTGTAAAGTTTCAGAGCCACGTGGGGGAAAAAATATACATATATATATATATATATACACGGCAAGGTGGTGCTAAGCTCATTCTAGTAACACAATGACCTGAGAATGAGGAGTTCCAAATTTTCATCTCCTCTACAGTGGAACTGGAACATTCAAGAATCTATTATTATGAAAAGCCCCAGAGGAGGGGTAAATGTCTAACACCCTCCATGCCCTTCTCCCAGTTTGCATGCCTGAACGTACAGCTGGTCAAATCCTTCCTCACCGATAAGCACAGACTGCAGCAGCAAGGAAGAGAAGCGGGAGGAGAAGAGATGGAGGCCTGAAGCCGTCCCTTACCCCGAGGTATCGGCTGTCATTGAAGAGCCGAGGCGGCAGCGGGTTCCCACTCGCTGGCCGGCTGTCTTCAGGGACGTTCTCACGCATCCATTTCCGATTCTCCTCATTGGCGGCGATATCCTTTTCTTCAAATTCAATTTTGTTGGCTTCCAGGAAACCTAATACATCCTGCTGCTGCTTTTTAATCTGTCACGAGAGAGGGAGGGGAGAAAAAGCAAATGAAATCAGTCAAACCATTTTTTTCTGCTGCCAATTATGTGACTCCAGCGCTGAATGTGGAAACAAGGGGGTGCAAAACAGGTTGAAAATGGAAGCAGTGAGAAAATTCTCAGAATAAAAAATACATAATCTTCTGAAGAGTCAGATCTGAGCTGTGACTTAGCTTCTGTATAACTGAACAGCATGAAGTCTAAAGATTTATACACATGCAAGTGCTGTGAACTTTAAGGGTCTCCCACCGAAAGCAAAGCTGGGAGCAGCCTCCCGCATTGCCCAGGCCCTACGGTTCATTCCGGGGAATGTTGTTTTTCCAGGCGCGGTGAAGGTTGCTGGAGGGACACGTGAGGTACAACCAGCTTCCTTCGTGCCCCTGGAAGCACAGGCTGAACCCACCCTTCCCCAGGTCCAGGGTTTTGTCCTCCTCCTGTGGGTGTGCGCCTCGCTGCGGGGACTCCCCGACAGAGACCTCATTGAGTCGGCATTAACGGTAAGATCCCAAAACAATTTTGGCTCGTGTTTCTTTGGGCAAAAAAACCCAAATCTTCATCTCCTCCGCGTTTCAGCAGCGGCAGGTACAGTCTCTGGAGGGCTGTGAGCCCACACCCTCCATCCTCCCTCATCTCAAGGAGAAGTTTCAGGGGACTGACTGCACCCACCCTCTGCGTACTCACACACCCAAGCGAAAAGTGGGATCTGTGTAGCAAAGGCCATGCTGGGTTTTTACAGGAAAGGTGTTTTTTATTACCGGCGTATATCAATTATTGACTTCCTGATGCAGAGATGTTCTGCTTATGCTCTGTCCTTCCTCTTCATGACTTTACCACCAGAAAGGAAATTATAACCAGGCGCAGCCTCGCAAACAATTTTAAAAAAAATGGGATTTAATGGGAAATCTGTTCTCTTCCAATTATTCCCTTCACTACAAAACCAGTCCAAAGCCTGGCTTTAACCTTAATAGCCCCGTGCAACAAAAGCAGCCCTTCATACAGATGTTGCGCTGCTGCTAATTCAGGTCAGCTTCCCCGAGCAGCCTCTCCATATACGGTGAAGGGAAGCCAGGCGGCTCCCGGCGAGCCGCCCCGGGGCCAGGGCACCGCCAGCACGGAGCCAAATACGGTCCCTGCGCCCCAGGACTGGGAGGGTGCGAGGTTTTTGTGTAGGAAAAAGCGCTGCCCTGGAAGGGGCAGGTTTGGGAGAACAGACCCCATGAGTCTCTGAAGAGGAAAGGGACAGACATGCCTTAACAGGCTTTAAGCATCCAGCGACTTGTTCTTTAAGCCACCACAGGGAACCAGGCTAAGTTAAACTAAAAGTTGGGTTGCGTGGTTTTGGGGTTTTTTTTAAGATAGATAGATAGATAGATTGATCGATCGATCTGCCTCTAGCTCAGCCCAGTGCAAAATGATCGACCCTGCTTTCCCAACAGAGGAAAAACGTGCTCCCAGCTTCAGTGGAGTAACTGTCTGCCCACCACTGCAAGGGCCACCGTAATTCCTCCCTTCCTGAACTCGATTAGCAAGTACCCTTCTGGCCTCAAACAGAGGAATATTGGTGGGGACTAGCTACTTTTCATCGTGGCTAAAAATTAATAGAAATGGGCAAGTTAATACCCCGCTGAGGAAATAATTCATGCTACAGATTGTACAGAAAAATGTTTCTCAGCCGACTCGAAACTATTGGTAAGATATTTCTTTGCTTGCCTTTAATAACAGGGGTCACAGCAGGAGGGAGCAGTCAGGGGAAGTTTTTCTCCATCGTGCAATATAGCGCAGAGAAAAAAAACAAAAAAAAAACAACAAAAAAAAGCGAGCACTTTCCTCATGATCTGTTCTGCAGGACTAAAATAAGGGAAAGGTCTTCGTAATTGTACACTCCTCTGCCAGGGGTCAGTATCTGAGGCAATATACTGACCTGGGAATAAATGGAATGTTTTGGGTTTTTTCCCTGAACTAGTTCCGCTGCAATTAACCATTTCCCACCATCTGTAAATTACACATCAAGCTTAGCTGGAAATCTTTTTTTTTTTTGCTAGACAAGGCCCCATGTGGAAGGCAAGCACAGCGGTTTGGTCTCCATGCTGCTCTCGGTCCATCTGGGATCAAAGGAGGCAGTTCTCTAAAGAACTGTAAAGAAAAGCAAGGAGCTGGTCCTGTGCATGAGTAGGATTCGTCTGAAACCCTAGTTTTGCGGCTGAATTAAAAACACAAGCTGGAAAATTAAGCGGTGATGTTTTCCAGCTTCACAGACAAGTCTGCTGAACGTGGTGACGCACACTGGGAGAAGAGCATTAAATGCTCCAGAGAAACGTGGCACCAGCCGCTGGGCAGAACAGCCACCGAGTTGCCAGACTGCATTACTTGATGGGATTTTGTTTAGAAAACTTCGATTAATCCCAGGCAGCGGGATAGCACGGGAAGCACCTAAAATAGAGCAGGAGACGCCTGCTGCCGCTGCTGCTCCGGGCTGTTTTGTCTTACTCAAAAGGGCATACGCTCTCCTCAGGACAAGAGCCTGGAAGATGGTTCCTGCTGCCCATGTTTGGGAAGGAGCGAGGAGCCTTTCTTCAGGATGTGCCTGTCAACGCACAGCACTCGCTTCCCAAAAAAAAACACCCCTCTCGTTGCTTCCCCGGGCATGGACACTGGCCAGCGCCTTTCCAGATACCACGCCTCGTCCTGCACAAACAACTGTCACGTCTGAAGCTATTTTGGCCCGTGAGCTGCAGCCAACCACAGTCTGCAGACACAGAAATCCATGTTTACAGTGAGTGCTCCTGACACATCTGGTACGGTGAGCACGAGAGCCGAGAGCGATGCCGCTGAGGCTGGGTCCCGAGGTGGGGGGGACCAGCACCAGAGAAGCAGGACATGAGGACAGACACAAAGCACAAGAACGGACAGAGAAAATACGGAGAGGGAAGAGGCTGCTGGCAGGAGTGAGGAAAAGTAGATGGAGACAGAGGGGGACATCCCAGGGGTGGAGGTGGGACGGAGGCAGAAGGATGGAAGGAGAAGGGGTGGGGTGGGGAGCAGCAGGAGTCAGGGCTGCAGCTCACCACTGCCCTGCTCGGGGAAGTAACATCCTTGTGAAAGCCCGTTTTGTCCAAAGATGGCTTCACTGCCAGCACCCAGCAAAACACACCTGGTTTCTCGGCCTGAACACAGGCTCACGCTTCTCAGGGCATTCTTCTGCGAAAAAACCATCTGAAACGGCTCAGGTGAGAGGAAACACTACCCTTCTTGCTAACATTCCTAGGCTAACGTTGAAACACATAACCAAATCAATCTATTTTTCACTTTGTTTTGGCTTTCAGTGTCTGTTCCAGAAACAGAAATAGCTTTTGACAAGTTATTGGCAGTCTCAGCACCAACCTGTAATCTTCCGCATACAAAATGTGCACAAGCAACATCAGAAGCCGATACTTCCTGCAAACTTTCTTTTTTTTTCCCAAGATATCCTTGTGTATCATTCTTTTCCTTTCCAGTTACAAACAAATCATGAAACACTAAACTTTCACCACGGCATGTGCACACAGTAACATTATGAAAATGAGTGGTTTAGGATTATGAACAAATATCATGCCTCACTTGAATACACACCAGAAGCTCAATTTATTGTTCTAACTCGCATCAGTGGAGGAAGTCAGAAACGCAAGAGAAACCAGTCAAAGCTGCCAAGAGTAGAGACAGGTGATGTTTTCCAATAAAATAGCCCATCACAAATGGAGCTTTAACCCCAAAGTGGGCAGAAAACTTTCCAGAAAAAGCTGCACCATTTCAGACTCAGGGTTTGTTTTCTCCTCTAAATCCTTACTCATCGGAGAAAAAAAAAAACCACCACCAACCAACCAAAAACAAACAAAAAAACCCCAACAACCCAAACTAAAAGATTATAATCAGAAAGGAGGCAGTGTTGATTAGCAGCACCTCCGTCCCCAGCTCCGGCCAGGATTCTAAACTGTTTTAAATATTTTATTGAAATGAATTTCAAAGAAGTTTCTATCTTATTTGGTATACACAGGCACACACATACGAAAGAACAGCCTAACTTGCACTGCTGGCCAAGAGCGGGTTTTGTTGTTTGGTGGTTTGGTTTTTTTACATCTTGTTATTTTTGCAGTTTATAAATAAATTCCTTGTTGGACAACGAGACATGCTTTGGAAATCTATTTCTGGAGCACGGGAACCCCACGTCAGTTTACAGTTTGAGTGCTGCTGGTCTGATCACACAACAAACTTCCCCCGGCCGACAAAGCAGCTGCAGCGCTGCTGTGCTGGCACTCGCCACGGGGCGTTCTCTGCCATTTCTGTGGGGAAAGAACACAAATTTTATTTTTTTTTTCCCAAAAAATGCAATTAGGTGGCTTGTACATTGTTGACGTACAGGTCCAGCCCCTGCTGACCCCGTGGCCTGAGCTGCGCCTCCCAACCTCAGAGCCGAGGGCAGCAGAGAGGCAACACCTGACAGCAGATCTGCACCTTGCGCACTTCTCAATATCCGAGTTTAAACAAAACCAGCCTTAACAGGTGGGTTTGTGGGGTTTTTTACCTTTTCCAATTCCAGCCTTCTGCACTCTAGATAAAGAAAAGCCCCTACCTCTTTAAAGTGGTTGTATTTTAAGCAATCTCCAGCAGCAGCCAGCAGCACCAGCCTTCTGCTCACTGTGGCCGAGGCGAAAAATACCCAGAAAGTGCTTTTCTTGGGAGGGAGCGGGGCAGCACGAGGAATGCTGCGCTGCCGCCAAGACAAATTAACTTGCCGCAGGGCGTCCCGCCGGCTGAGCCGCACACCGTGACTGCAGGACTTGACCACCTCTGCTGCTGCGGCTACAGCCACGGCTATTCACAGCTACATTTTGGAATTAAAAAATAAATAAAAAAAATTAGTTTGGTTTGGTTGTGGTTTTTTTCTAAAATGATTAACTCCTTCCTCATGCGAGTTGCTAACGCAGAAACTAACACTTGGAA